GCCAACTAATATGCTCACTTCCCTCGACGAGCGCGCATAAGAAACAACAATTGGCGACACGAACATGGCTAAGAACCTGAGGGTTAGTTAAAGTCAGCTACAGAGCAGAGCACAAGGACAAGGAGTTGTCATGTTCTTGTGCCGGGTAACGACAACAGAAGCATATCAGTGGACGGGCAGCCAAAGTAAACATCAAGGCAACTGTGTCCTGTGCCCAGACAACAGGACTCGCCTCGAATCGAGTCGACCTTTGTCTGCGTCCCCCGCTCGAAGTCAATGCGCATAAATTTCGCTGCATGTCCAAATGTCTGTCCGGGCGGAGTTGGACGGCAGAAGGCGATAGATAGACGATAGATAGACGGCGACATGTAGACAGGGACATGCATAAGCTGAAATATCCACAAAACTAATCTGCAGGCGGCCGGCGAAAGGACGAGCGAGCGAGTGAAGAAAGTGCAGGCAAGGATTTACATATTAAGCCATTTTTAATTTACGACTTGGCCAGAAAAAAAAGCAGTCGAAAGGATGCCTAACCATCCACCCACACACACACACACACACACTCATATGCGCCTGGCTAAACAGCAGATAACGAACGTTGTTGTTGCTGCAGGAGCACTGAGCACAGATGGATGATAAAGGCGCCAGTCGAGCAAAAGGATAACGACAGCCGCCTTGCAACAGGGCTAAGAACTTCCTTCAACCCCAAGTGCAGTACCAAAAACAGATAAAGATAGATAGAGAGTGAGAGAGAGAGCGAGAGAGAGCATAAAATACCCAAAAAGTTACTTGAATTCCAAACCTGGACCGGGCAGGACGTGGGCGTGGCCGTGGCCCCTTGGAAGCGGAAGCAGTTCGCCAACAATGACAGTAATAAAATAAAAGTAAATCCATGCTTTGCTGCCTGTCATCTCCCTCTATCTCTCTCGCTGTCTCTTTCAGTCCTTGGCTTCTGCCAAAGTTGACATTGACGTACAGGTCCCGGAAGTGAAAACTGTGGCGTTGTTTAGCCAACTGTTTAGCTGTTTTTCATGTTACCTTCGCTCCGGCAAGAAAGTGAAAACTTTCAGAATGTTGCGAATTTGTTTGTTTGCATTCGTCACATTTTGTGCCTGCCGAAAGGTGTTCCAGTGCTTAAAGATAGACAGCTTTAAGAT